TTCTCAAGTTCATGCATAAATCACTAAATCAATTGAAAGGTGATCAGACTTCCAATGCATTAAGTTCAATAATATAAACTCCTCACGCGAATAACTTTAATTGAAAGTATAAAATCACAAAATTTATATTGAATTGATTAGGCTACATCATAGCCTTAATAAAATAAATCAGTTCATAATAAAAATAATAAAATCTGAAATCACAATTATGAGCATAAGAATGTCTAAGGAAAAATAAAACCTAATTTGAGGTAATTAAAATCCTTGATCTTCTCGTTGATGGATCTTCTATCTTGACCTCCAAGAGTGCCCAAAAGAGGGCTGCCACTAGCCTCTCAAAACTCTCTTAATTCTGAATTTGGATGGGTATTTATAGGATTTTAAAAACCCTAATTAAAATAGAAGTAGGACTTGGAACAGAAATAGGAAACTGAATTTTGGATGCTGATCGCGTGGTGCTGACACTTCGGATTATGTGTTGACACAAAATAGGAAACAGAATCTAATTCTGGACGTTTAACGCATGGTGTCGACACCCCGATCATGTGTCGACACTACACCCGTGTCGGGTTTCTGGTCTCCTTTGCAATTTCTTCAATGGTAAAATAGCAGATTTGGTTCCTGACTTCTGGATCCTGCACAAGTTGATCCTCAAGTCTCTGATCTCTTCAATTTACTTCTAAAAAGTAGGATTTCTTCCAATTAAATCCTTTCCTATACAAAGAATGAAAACCATGTAAAATCAAACAAAATCCCATAAAACTCATCCAAATATCAATAAAATCAAAGTAAAAATTTCCTATTAATATGTATATAAATTTAGCTTATCACACCACAAACTGAAAATCGGGAGGGAAGACTTTGAATGCAGTGAATATAACCTCTTTAGGTTCAGAAGGCAACGAAGGATAAGTTAACCTGCTGCACATCTCAACATATGATACATCAGAGTCAGGGACAACAATTGCTAGCCTCCAACACGTTTTCTTTAGCTTTTCATTTGTTTGAATTTAGGAGCCAATAAAATAGCGTAGAGCACCCATATACTAAAATTGCTTGGAAATTCATTAGACACGTCACTACAAGAATACACAGAATTACCGATGAGATATCATGTCGGAAAACAGGAGGGAGCTTGTCGGTAAATAAATTTTCCAACTTATACTTTGTCGGTAATACACTTGTCGGTGTTAGCTTCCTCGGTAATTACTTCACCGATGTGAGATGGAGTTACGTTGGTAATTTGGACCAAATTACCGACAAAACACATGTCTCAAAACAACTACCGGAACCGTACTGCCGGAGCAGGTAAGTCAAGGTGTCAATTACCGACGAGCTTCACGTCTCTAGCTGCAGACCTCGTTTATTGCTCCCTGTGTTACCTCGTTTATTGCATCCGGTCAGCTCATGTCAGTAAGTTACCGACAAAGAATTAATCGGAAAGTTGGTTTAGAAATTTGTAAAAGAATTGCCGATTTACAAGAATTAATTGGTTATATATCATTTACCGACAAAGTTCCAATCGGCAATTACCAAGAAAAAAAAAATTTATATTTTACCGACAAAGCTTTAATCGGTAATTTGGTTTAGGAATTAAAAAAAAGAAATCTACACCATTCCCCTTTTTGCAACCGGGGAAGGGAATTGAAAAAATTTGCATTTTACCGACAAAGCTTTAATCGGTAATGTGGTTTAGGAATTGAAAAAAAAGAAATTTATACCATTCCCCTTTTTGCGATCGGCAAAGAAATAAATTAGTATATAATTTAGTTAAAACCAAAAAATTGTTAATATGAAATAATAGTATTACCAGCCATCTAACACATAAGTAATAAAATATATATACATATTTAGTAATGAATGTCCTCCAAACCAAAAAGATTATGGGATGATCAATCTTAATTTATAATGGTTAATATTATAAA